GCGTAGTTTAATTTCCGCACTTTAAATTCCGCAAATTATTAACTGTTAGATGTATGATATTAGGATGCATGACAAGAATGTATGATTAATTTTAAAACAGTTAGATCACCCTAAATGTGCAAAGATAATAAATCTGAAATTGAATCATTCGCACATGCGCACTCCTAGGGTACACTCCCACTTGGTTGCCTTCGGTAAACGGTCATTGAGTATAGGATGCTTTAGTGGTCGTCCTTTTGTCTAAAGATCATAGTTGCCTCGGATATTGTTGCTTCGGATAATTGATCTAAGACATTAGGGTTATTACTAAGACGTCCTAACATTGCTTTAGTGACCGTACGTCCCTTTCGAATTGACCCTTAAAACTCCAACGATGGTGCTACCTACTCACTAATAGTGGGATAGCGCTGTCTAAAGGAAACGAACATAGAACGATTCTTTTTTCGAGTAGGTAGATTAGTTCTTAAGTACTTGCTCAAACAAAATAAACTTTTTTTCACACTTACACTCCTTTACAAACAAAGTTTTCAAAACACTTCATTACACTCTTGAAGACAGAAGCAAGAGTTAAATCGAAGTCAAAACAAAAACTTTTCAAAGCACACAAACACAAAGAAAACAATTTTGAAAATGATGAGCAAGTACCTAAGAGCCCGTAGATAACTACGGATAAAAAGGGTGCTAATACCTTCCCTTTCTATAATCTACCCCCCGTACTCAGAAATATCTCGAAAAAGGAATTTTTCTGTGCTTTTTTCCTTTCCTTGTTGGATAAAATAAAAGTCGGTTGCGACTCTTGCTTACCGCGACATTTTGCAAACATAAACGCAAAACACAGACCAACCATTCCTTAAAAAATAGGGAAACACGTCCCGGTTTTGGCCACCGTATCACACCGGTGATCTGGACGGTTCACACCGGTTTCATCTGGTCTAAATGTAATGCCGGTCTTATACCTTAATCGGACCGCCTGGCCCACCGGTTCTCGGTCAGACCGGTCCGATTGGCCGGGTCGGGCTGGGTTTTAAAACATTATTTTCAACAGTTCCAGATTAATTCCTGAAACTAGACAGGGCAACTATCTGTGAACGACTGAGTGTAAATCAATTCCCAAAACAAGACGGGGCGACTATCTACAAGACTAGGTCAGAGATTAATTCCTGAAACCAGACAGGGCAACTATCTCAACGACCAACAAAAACAAGTTCCATATTAATACCTAAAACAAGACAGGACAACTATTTATGGATGACTGATTGTAGATTAATACTTGGAATCACACAGGACAACTATCTACATGAGAAGATTAAAGATTAACTCCTGAAACAAGACGGGGAAATTATCTTTCTTTCGCAAATAGGTCAGAGATTAATTCCTGAAACCAGACAGGGAAGCTATCTCAACGACCAACAAAAACAAGTTCCAGATTAATACCTGAAACAAGACAGGACAGCTATCTGTGGATGATTGATTGTAGATTAATACCTAGAACCCGACAGGACAACTATCTACATGAGCAGATTGAAGACTAACTCTCGAAACAAGACAGGGAAACTATCTTTCTTTCTCTTAGGTCAGAGATTAATTCCTGAAACCAGACAGGGCAACTATCTCAACGACCAACAAAAGTAATTTCCAGATTAATACCTGAAACAAGACAAGACAACTATTTGTGAACAACTGATTATGGATCAATTCTCGAAACAAGACGGGGTGACTATCTACACGACCAGACGAAGCAATCTTACACGGGTTCCTTCTCATGATCTCCAGATGCATCCTTACACAGGCTCATCATGAAGAAATCTTACACGGGTTTCTTCTCACACCAGATGAAGTTTAACACGGCTCATCCTGAAGCAGCCCTACACAGGCTCCTTCTAATACATTTCCGGATAACAGCTAATTTTATTCCCCCCAGCAAGTTACTGTGAAGCCTGGATTTCAACTAGAAAACAACTAACTTTCATCTCTCCAGTCCAGAGATAACTCCTCAGTAGAGCCATGGTTAGCTAAAAGACTATATTCCCCACAGAGTTTTCCTCAAGAAGGAGAACAACAAAAATTAACATTCCTCGGTGGAGTCCTCCTCAGACAACAGGAACGGGAATCCCCATAAAGAGACCTCTTATGAATTCAGCATCTACTTTTGATGGCATCTTTAAGCCCATCTCCGACGACTCTCTGTTATCTTCTCCAATTGACATCTGTAAGCCCATTCTCGATATCATCAACTAACAATGTTGCTTCATGCGAGTGCAAATTTCTGGGCACTCTAGTGTTCAATCATCTTCCACCTTCAGATTACGAAAGGCAGACAAGCCAATCTAAATCCTCAGATTTAAGAATATTGAACAGGGGCAGCTGTTGCACCCTAAAAATTGCCCTTCCATTTTATTCAGGGCATGCTCATTAAGGTCCTCAATTGTTCAAGGTTGATCAAGAATTGACTAGACAAATTCTCATTCTAAGCAATGGACTTCCATCTAAGGTTTAATTTCTCACAAAGAATTTTGGTTCGCAAGGGCTTCAAATAATTTTCATGCCACCCCATTGGCCTAAGCATAATGGCACAACTGAAAGAAAGAAAAAGTGTGTATGACAAAGTGTAGGTCGAAGGCTGAAAATATGCCTAAGAGCTTTTGGGTCGAAGCAGCTTCAACAATAATATGCAGAATAATTTGAAGGATCGAAGGACAGCTAAAAACGAGTCAGCCAGATATGAGTCATCTTGTAGTTTTAGGATCAATATGCCTCACACATGTGCCTGAACGTACAAGGGAGTTGGGTGATCGAAGGTGCTCATATGTTATCCTTCGATTGGTGCAATACAAGATGTATTCACCAATCGAAGGTGAACTAAGGGTCAATAAGGATGGCTTTGTAAACTAAAAAACAAAAGTAAGGATTGGAGTCAAAAGTGTGTTCGAATGAGGTGAACATAAGGAAACTCCAAGAAAAGGAAACCAAAGAGAATAAGAATGGAGTCCGACTAGGAGAATTTTCCAGGTCAAAAACCAATGTAGATGGACTCAATCGAAGGAGCCATGAGGATGAAACCGTGAGCAAATCGAATTGAAGCCCGGAGCCATCGAAAGGAGAAATTCAGAGTCAATCTAAGAACAAGGCTTGAGGGCATTCGAAGGAGTCAAGATGAGAAACCAGTCCAGGTTCATTCAAAACCCAAAAGGGTAGAAAATCATCAAAAAAAAGGCAACCTTTTAAGGCTTTCGATTCAACCTTCAAAGCCTGGTTAATGGCTGATTCTTGCCATTTCCATTCACCACTGCCCCTTATAAATACAAAGTTAAAAGCACAAGCAAAGGCCCATACACAGAAACGTTGCTAGCAGACACAGAAACGTTGCCACCAGACATAGAAACATTGCCACCAAACACAGAAACGTTTCCCCCAGACACAGAAACGTTGCCACCAGAGACATAAACACTTTAGCCAGACACAAACATTTTGCCACACACACACGCATTAGCCAGACGAATACATTACCCCCAGAAAACCACACCAACTTTTCTCCAAATTTCAACAAAGTGGTTCCATACTCAAAGCTGCAGATCGAAATATACCGGCCATAGGTATAAATTTCGAAATTCAATCTCTTAATTCAAGCATTTTTTTATCGTTCTAACGTGTTTGTCTGTGTTACAGTCCTCACATGCAAATACTGACATCAGGATAACAATATGCCATTTGTTTGGGCATTTGAAATTGTTCCATTCAGCCATGGCATATTATTGTTTTATTTAAACATATTTCTGATTGGGTTTCAAATATATTATTGTTTTGTTGTTTGTACTAACAATTGAAGCAGATGGTTGGGTGGTGAAGAAGCGCGCGATGGGCTAGAGGACCTGGGTTTGATCCCAGACTTCAGCCTTTCTATTTTTCTCATGTTATATTGACAGATCTGGTACTTCAAGTCCAAATATGTGCAACATGCACTCTACCATCAGCACCATTAAATCCATACAACATGGATCCAGCGCCTCCAACATGCAGTCCCCACCGTGGACTCTCCAGATGCGTTCTCACCAGATCCTAACACACCTTGGGCCAGCTTAATTGGGCCTGACCAATTTCAAACATTGCACCCCCTTTATTATTTTTTAGCAGACCCGTCTGCGTTTTCCTCTTCTACTGTTTTAGTTTGTTTCGTTTATTTGTTTCATATTTTATTTTCAAGATTTAATTTTCTTTTAATATATAAATAATATCATAAAAAAACATTTGGTTAGTATTTTTATTAATTAAGCTAATTTTATATATAAATTAATTAATTACTTTAACATTTTTTTTAATTTAAAATCAATAGACACTACAAGAAAATTAGGATTTTACGACACAAAAATTGCGACAGTTACTTGATAACCGTCGTAATTCTAATATAGAGACACATTTCACGACGGTATACACCAATCGTCCTTATATATTTAAAAAATTATTAAATATTGCGACAGTTTTTTATAAACCGTCCTAAAATCAATGTCGCGACGGTTAACAAACCGCCATAAAATACACATCACGACGGTATAACAACCGTCGCCCCGTACACTACAAAAAAGTAATAATAATATAATATATTTATATATTTATCAAATTAAATTAATATAAAAAAATTAAAAGATTTTCTAACAAAACAACATAACAGGTCCAAAAGCTTCTCCTTTTTTTCTCTTCTCGTCGCTGCCCGACATCACCGGCTTCCACCACAACCATGTCTTCTCTTCATTTCAACCTCCATCCACTCCCTCCATCCACTCCCTCCATCTTCATCTCCACTACTCACCACCACCAACAACATTTCTTCCTTCTCCCCCACTTCCCTCTCCATCTTCTACAACAACCACCACCACCTTCTTCGCTTCAATCTCATCGGGATTTGAAGCCGTAGAATTTGCTTCTCGATCAACAGCAAGGGATTTTGAAGATTGCTGATCTTGGTCTTGGGAGGGCTTTTACCGTCCCGCTTAAGAGTTATACTCATGAGATTGTTACTCTTTGGTATAGAGCTCCTGAAGTTTTGCTTGGATCTACTACCTACTCTACTAGAGTTGATATCTGGTCTGTTGGATGTATCTTTGGTACGTCATTCTCTCGATTTCAATTCTTTTTTCTACTTCTTGTTGTTGCTGCTAATTTACCATAATTAGGGTTTTGGATCTCATAGTAGAATTGTTGCACTACATAGTATAATTTGAACAAATTGTTAGGGTTTTGTGTAAAATTAGGTGGATTCGCGGCAGTGATGTGTAGCGGAACTCAAATGAAAATTTTTGATCTGCTATTGATAATACCTAAGGTGCCTTAAAGTATTTCATGATTTCGGTTGAGTTGGATTGCATCCCAAATATGACTTTAGGAATCAAATTGAATGGAATTGAGTTGGGGATTATTTTCATGAGGGAGAATATCGTGAATCTCTTAAGACGGTTTTTGTGATTTGGATACTTTTCTTTCTCTATTAATGATGGAAATGTAATTGATTGATTGATTGATTGTTTGTTTGTTTATGCAGCTGAAATGGTGAGGAGACATGCTTTGTTTCCGGAGGATACTTTCCTATTTTGCAGGCTTGCAATAGCTTTGCAGTAACATATGTTCCATTGTATGACACCCTTGGTATGTGTTTTCTGCCTTCACAGTTGTTTGTGTCCGATAACAAGTTGTTTGGTTGGATAACTATATGCTCTATTATAAGCATAAGCTCTTTTCATATAAGTGCTTATAATATAAGCTATTTCTAAAGCAAATAAATTAAGTCAATCCAAACAAGATAATATGATTTCCTTTATCAATTCAAATATATCCTCTCTAGAAGTTTTGAACACAAACAAGAGTATAGTTGTAAATGCTCTAATTAACTTGTGTTTACGCCTAACAGGTCCTAATGCTGTGGAGTTTATCATAAACCATGCTGAAGTTTCAATCGCATTTGTTCAAGAAAATAAGATTGCATCAGTATGTTCTAGCTTTTTGAGCTCAATGTTTTAACAATTGCAACATGGAATGTCTAACACATTTAACTGTTTCAATGTTAAATCTTCTGAGAAAAAACTAACGTTCGTTTCCACAGATTTTGTCATGTCTTGGTCGGTGTTCTTCAAATCTTAAAAGTAGGTCAAGCATTCCTGTCTTATTTAAGATTAAGTTTTTTTTTTACTACATTTAATGCAGACTAACCTGTTTAAATCAATGTTGTAGCTATTGTGAGCTTTGGAAATGTTTCAGCCGCACAAAAGAAGGAAGCTGAGGAATTTGGCGCGTCCTGCTTCTCCTGGGAAGAGTTTCTCCAGTTGGTAAGATATTAGTGTTTTAAACTGTGGTTACAGTCACGGTTACTATGAACGTTCATGGTTCGATTCAAGAAGAATCAAACTCTTACAACAGTTTGCTAATATAATCATTCCAAGTTAATTTGATTAAGGATACTGTTACTCCGGTTAATTTGATTGGTTATGGGTTGGCGTTTTTGGGGGTTGCGTATTATAATCAAGAGATATAATCTCAATAGTTCTAAATCAAAATGTAAGTACATATAAAAAAAACAAACTTTTCTTTTTCGAACCAAAACGGACTGAATTTTGACCATTAACTGATAATTAGGGCTGTTGGTAAAATAACTAAAGTCCTAACCCAATTGAATACTAGGACTGACTTAAAAAAAACCAAAATTGAACCGCGCCAAACTGCACTGTATCTAAAAGAAACAAATCGTGATGAATAGTTCACAAACTGAATTGAACCAAGCTGGTTAAATTCGGTTCGTGAACTGACAATCAGAGTTCGGTTGTTTTTGGTGCGGTTTAGTTTGGTTTTTGGTTTTTCTTAACAGCCCAAGAAATAGGCAACTCAAAGCCCACCTTCTGTGTTGCAGAATAATCAATACTTCCTGAACAATTACATGAACAGCTATATAAAATAAAGTTCATTTTCTAAACACAGAATTCCTCCAACCTTCAATCACATACTTCAACATGTGATCCACTTTCTATTGCTAGAGGTGACAGCCTGATAGAGCAAAGCTATAATTCCATATCTTCAAGACTTCTAGTAACATATAAGCATGATCAAACACTCAAAATATGAATGACAGTGAAATGGATTATGGCAAGCAGAGAGTTAATGAGAGAGATAGATTATAGATATATAGCTAGATGTATAATTGATAGTTAAAAAAACATAACATATTGTTATTTTACTAAGCTTCTTTTGTACTGTGACCTTCACCTTTTATCTTTCTGTTCATTGGGCTTGATTTTTGTATATTGTCTCAAGTTATATTCCATAAATAAAGCTTTCCACGCGCTACTTATATTTAGTATATTCATCAGAATAGATTGACCAATTTTCAAGTTATATTTGAAATTTCCATTTGTGGCACTTAAGATGCTACCTAAGTAATAAGAGCTTATCCTTGTGAACTTAAGGTACAGAGTTCAAATGAGATAAGAAGTTGCATTCCTTCCATATATATGAATCAATATATAATAATCAAGATTAACTAAATCTTTAGAATAAACTTTTGATAAGTACACGAGGATAGGATGTTAAACCTTGTCATATTGTTTTCAATAAAATATTTCATTGAGTTTGTCAATGACGTGGGTGACAAGTGACAGTTTACAACAATGCTGCACAAAGATTTATAGAGACTAAATAGGAGTTATTAGGAAAAGAGAAGTATTATGTACTAATGAATGTGGCAAGGATATATGATAAATAAAAAGTGATTTAGGGTTCTTAGTTGGCAGGTTAGTTATGCCTTAGTAGTATTAGTAGTATAAATAGTGATGTTAGTGAATTGTGAATAAACCGTTATGGTTAGGCAAAGAGAATTATCTTCTCTGAGGAGCTTTTCTCCGAGGAAGATTGGAATTCATTCCTTTCTATATTGTTTTCTTTCTCCATCTATTGAATGTTTTACATTGTTGATGTAATTTCTATATTTAATTTCTTACTAAGGATTTTGGAGTTATAGGCTAAAATTGTGCTCTATAATGACTTGATCAAGAGATTTCGGTGTATGAGAAAAAGTAGTATCATAATGAAATACTCTTTCTTGTTTCATCAACTGTTTTAGCTGCATTTATGGATCTGTGTTTTGCTCATTCAAAATCAATGGACTTGATAAAAGCATAATGTTAGCTATCTTTCTACTGATTGCCAAGTTGTAATTGCAATTCATGCGACAACATTCACCTCAACTCATTGGTTGGTAGTGATTGCAGTCAATTCAGATTTCATTGTTTTCAACTCGATATGTCACTTTTCTGAGTATACGTTGCATAAGATGCTCTGTAATTTGCTACTACTCTCTTTAGTGGAATGAAGTGAATTTCGGTCTCACTGTTCCATGAAATAAATTCAAAAGTATGAACTTATCATCTAAGCATTAGTGATCTTGGATCAAGCTTACAAATAATTTAAATAGAAATGTAAACTGCTTGACTGGTAGATGATTTTTTTCTCTTCATTTCTCTTTACACACTCACACTTCCTTTGGTTTTGAATATTTCAAACATATTTTTCCGAAGCTAACCTCTTTTTGTTATAGTTCCTGAAAATCGGAAAATCTCACTTGTTATAGGTAACTTGTAGCAAAGTTATAAGGTGGTATAAGCATATTACAATGTGCAATAATTCATAAATCTTTTCTCCCAATAATAAGTACTGGTATCTCACGGAAATCTCACGCTTCAATAGCAAAAGCAATGTCTCCTTGCATTATTTTACAAATGGTTTCCCAATAGTAAATATTTCAAAACAATTGGATTGCTCATTCAAATTAATAATACTGAGTTAGTATTTGTTTCCGCGTCAAATATGCCTCTAGCGTCTACCAAAAGCTAGGAATCTTAGCTTTTATTTTTTATTTTCACGGCAGACTCCATTCTAGACGTGCGTTTCTCATTCTAAACGTGAATCCAAACAAGCTATGAATATTAGTTGTAGGTGTTCACGTGAATTTTATTTTATTGGAGATTTTGTTGTAGTTGATTTTTCTGTACCTTATAACTTTTCATACAATTGGAGTTTGATTGTGAGAGTTATTCTGCCAGCCCATAATTGACAGCTAGTTTTGTAATGCAGGTACAAGAAGAAGCGCAAAATGGACAAGTAGAATTGGAAAAACATGTCATCACAAAGACATTGACTAAGCCATCTGAGGCATATTATGATGCCAAAAACCTGCCACATGTTCTTGTGAGTACAAAAATATGTTTTGTGTGAATCTTGCAGGCTGCTAGGTATGCGTAGCTTGGACCAAATGGTAGTCAAGGAAGGATCATGGTCCTAGCATGGAAGTTTAACACAAAATCACTTAACACTAAGGACTTTCATGAATTTTGTAGAATATTGTAACATTTTTTGTAATTCTCTCAAGTTGTAGCAAACCAATGTAAATATTAAAATGAAATTTGGCCTTTGATGATATTTGAATTTTTCTTGTTTATTGGTAAAATTTGCACTTCTTTTTACCTTTGATCACATTTTTTTGATATTATTGATGATTATTTGATATTAAATGTTTTTATTGTAATTAACTTTATTATGTTGAAAAGTGATAGAAAATAAAATAAAAATACTATAAATAAAAAAATATTAAAGTAAATAATAATTTAAATATAATAGTAAAATATTATAGTAAAATAATATTATATTTAAAATTATTTTACTAAATAATAATTTAAATAAAAATATTATTTGAAATTTATAAATCAGATTACGACGGTTAAAACCGCCGCAATTTCTAACCTACGGCGGTAGAATAACCGTCGCAAACAACAACAAAAACAAAAAATAAAGTCAAATTCACGACGGTATATAACCGTCGCTATCTGTTGTGCGTGACAGTTTTTGCAACCGTCGCGAAATAGGCTGGGGACGCACGATTCTGCGACGGTACTTCTACCGTCGTAGATTGTAAATTGCGACGGTTTTAACCGTCGTAATCAGCCAAAATAACCGTCCCAATCTATCATTTTTCTTGTAGTGAGACTTAAGATTCTAATCAATTTTAGTTCTATTTCTTAAAAATACAAAAAAAATTCATTTTTCTTAATACTTAAGGTTTTAGGATATTTTTATATTTTTTCTTATCATTTTTCTATTTATTTTCCATTTAAATTCTAGAAAGAATGTATAGGTTTCATGGGAAGTTTTGTAATAGTTTAGTTTATTTTGCCATACTTTTCTATTATGTAACTTCCCACAGGATGTAATAGCATAGGATTTAATTTCCGTACTTTATATTTTCTGTACATATATTAACTGTTTAGATGTATGCTAATAGGATTGTATGGCAAGAGATCAAAATCAAACATTAGCAAAACCTAACATCAAGATAAATAATTGAAACACAATACAATTGCACATGCACACCTTTAGGGTACTCTCACTTTGGTTGCCTTCGGAAAACAGTCATAACTCTCGAAACGTGAGAGATTTTAGTGGCTATCCTCCGGTTTAAAGATCACAAGTCCCTCGATGATCCTCTCGACGTTTCCTCGATAAAGTGATCTTAAAACTCTAGGATAGTTACTAAGATTTCTTGCCCAGTTGCCTTTGTGCTATAAACGTCCTTTCGAATGTCCCTTAAACATCCAACGATAGAGTTATCTACTCACTAATAGTAGGATAGCACTGTCTAAAGGAAAAGAGGAAAAGAACAACCCTTTCAAGTAAAAGTACATAGTTGTTAGATGCTTGCTCAAACAATTTTTTTACACTTACACAAAACAATTTTCAAAAACCTTTTCAAAACGCTTTATCAACACTCTTGAGGACTGATACAAGAGTTATCATAAAGTAAAATGACTGACTAATAGCGTTTCAAAAGTACTTTTCAAAAACACACAAAGCACAAGGTATTTAAAAATGAGCTAAGCATCTAAGAGCCCATAGATAACTACGGAAGGAAAGGGTGATAACACCTTCCCTTTCCATAATCTACCCCCTTACTCAGAAATAATCTCGAAAGGATCTTTTTCTGTTCTTTTCACCCTTTCTTTTGTTGGATAAAAGAAAAGTCGGTGGCGACTCTTACTTACCGTAACATTTGCGAACACAAACACAAAACCAGTATAACAGTCAGTTCTGCCGCTGTATTGTTGCAACTGGTTTTTAAATCAGAGTCGCCACTATTAGTTTTTATCCTAAGGAAAGAGAATCTAACAGAAAACCCTAATTCACAGAGATTCTAGGTTTCAGATTCAATTAGACGAAAGGAAGGTGTTAGGCACCTTTCATCTACCTTGTTCACATGGATACTAGGTTCTAGGTTTAGGTTTGGGGTAAACAGGATTTTAAGTTTTAATTAGAAAGACTCGTCACGATGTTTGATCGTATGCCTACGTATCCTCTTATGAGGAATCAGAGTCCTAATTCGTAGTACGTATGAGGTTGGTGATTTTTAGGGGGTTTGTAAACATATATTGAATCACCTCGCACTTGGCCAGAAATAGTGATTGCGGAGATTTTGACTAGATGCGCAGTAAGTCAAAACCAGTTTGAAACCCTTTTGCAAAAACAGTTGATTAGTTTAATTTGTTGCGAAAAATAGTTTGATGATTTGTTTGTGTTTTTTAATCGTATTAATTACGAAGATCTTGATTAATACATGATTAGAAAAAGATTTAATGCAAATAATATATGCAATTTTGATATAAAATAATTTATTTGTTAGTATATAATTATTTATAAGCAATAAACAATATTTACATAGCAAATAAAATATAAGAATAGTAAATAGAACATAAAGTTATAATATATAATAATTATGATATAATAATAATAAAATTAATATTGATAATAATAATAATAATTATTGATTTTATAAATATATAAATAAAATATATAAAACAACATAACAAAAGTAAAAGAGAGGTGAATTAGTGAATAAAGAGGCTCTTTCTTTCTCGTGAACCTTCTTCTTCTTCTATATTATAAACTCTCTGTTCACCTTTTAATTGCAATTTTACCAAAACCCTTACATACAAAATCACAAGCAAATAACCATACATGAAAGTTGAAGAAGAAAATACAGAGGTACCGATTGGGAGTGGTGCGTGGAGATTCGGCGGAGATACTACTCGCGGCGGTGATTGATTTTGCATAGATCTACGAAATCAATGGAAGCGGCGGCTTGAGTCCGGACCACACGTGGCCGGTGCGTCTCTGGTGGCTGTCGGTTCGACAATTTGAATGGGCCGTGTGTTGTCCAAGGCGGTGCGGTTGAATCCACCGGACCAGATTTGGAATTTTCGTACTATAATATCTGATTAGTAATGGAGATTGATACTGATATTGCTTGATTTTCTGGATTGGGTTTAATTATAATATTTTGACTATTGTTTTTCTTAGATTGGATATGTTTGTTTTTTCAATCTTTACGGTATATGTTAATTGAAAGCAAGCGCATATTTTGAGATGATTGGAATAGTGTTTGTTAGCCGCAGAAAACATGTGCTAATTTATTGGTTTGATTAACATAGTAAGTGTTATCTCCAAACTGGGCCGTGCGCTGTTTTAGCTGTATTGGACTTTTGCGTTTTGTTTTATCCAGCAACACACTTTACAGCAAACACTATATAACCTGGCCTAATTGTTATTGTTTTCAAACAACCTTTAATAATTAAATAAAACTTAAATAATATCGGTTAATAATATAAATAATCTCTACTGAAAATCTTTTTAATAAAATACTATTATGAAAAAAAGTTTTCAGCATCGCATTGCATTCTCTTTTAATTTTTTTTTGGCAAAATACTCTTTTTAGTCCTTTAACTTTACCCCAAGGTCCATTTTGGTCCTTTATCTAAAAAAAGTGTCAAATTGGTCCTATAATTCTTTCAAAAGGACCACGTTTGTCCTTTCCATCCACTCCGTTAGTCATGTTTAATGGCAGCGCTTATGTGGCATTACACGTGGGTTTAGAAAAATTGCATGTGGCAATTCCACTTAAAAGTCAGTTTGACACTCTTATGTGGCATTACCACTCATCCATTGCATGTTTCCTTGAAGGTGAAACCAGACTTCTCATCAGAGGTAAGTTTCTGCTTTCTGCAAGAATTCTATTTTCATAGTTAGGGTTTCCATGAAATTCGTCTCCCTTCTCTGAAATTCATCTCTCTATTTAGGGCATTGTGTGTAATGGAGGAAATTCTTAATATTACGATACACCACAGTGGTCAATTTGTTAGTGAGGACTTGAGTGTGTACGAAGGAGGTGAGATTGCTGATTTGAGAGTAGATGCTGATATGTGGGGTTATTTTGAGTTATTGGATGCTATTAAGGAACTAGGTTACCCAGCCATAGAGAAGATATACTATAAGGATCCAACTGCTGGAATGAATCTGTTGTTTGATGACAAAGGGGCCTTAGAGATTGCTGATCTATATATGGTTCATTTACGTGTTGAAGTCTTTATTCAACACCCATTGTCACAGCCTGAGTATGTTGATGAGAGTGAAGTTATTTTAGATGAGATATCCCTGAATGTAATGGAAGATGATGCAGTTAGACAAAATGAGGTAAGTGAGGATGCTGAAGATGTTGTTATACAGAAGGAGGCAATTGAAGATGTTGTTGGACAGAAGGAGGCAAGTGAAGATGTTGTTATACAGAATGAGGCAAGTGAAGATGATGTTGGACAGAAGGAGGCAAGTGAAAATGCTGTTGGACAGAACGATGATGATAGTTCTGATGATGATAGCTCTGATGATAGTAGATTTTCGTATGATAGTGCAAAGGAGGTTGTATTTGATGATGAAACTGATGACTGTGATACTGACTTGGAAGAGGAAGAAGGTATGGCAGAAGTAACTGATCTCTGTGAAACTGAACCAAATAAAGAAGATAGTAAAGGAAGTGATAAAGGAAGTGATAATGAAAGTGAGGATCTTGTAAGTGATTGTGATAGTGAAGATAGCAATACTACCAAGAGAAAGAAGTATCCCATTTTCAAGCTTCTAAAGGATATGTCCAATTACAAATGGGAAGTGGGTACGTATTTTAGTACAAAAGAAGATATCAAGGAAGCAGTTACCTCTTATGCAGTCCAATCTGGCAGAAATTTAAAGTACATCAAAAATGACAAGATAAGGGTTAGGGTTAGGTGTATGGATGGATGTGAATGGGAAGGTTATTGGGCTAAGTTGGATGTTGAGGATACTTGGCAACTAAGAAAGGTGATAGACACCCATAGTTGTAGTAGAGAATATCATGTGAAGTTGTTGAAGACTAAATGGCTTAGCAAGAGGTTGCAGAATGCACTTAAAACCAACCCTAGATTGAAGCTTAAGGACATTAAGGAAAAGGTGCAGAGGAAGTGGAATGTGGGGGTCAACAAAACCAAGGCTATAAGGGCTAGGTTTGCAGCAAGAGACATGGTTGATGGGTCATTCTTAGGGGATTATACAAGGATTTATGACTATGCACATGAGTTGTTAAGATCTAACCCAGGGTCAACTGTGAAAGTACATGTCCAACCAGCTCAAGAAGGTAGTGGTGTTCAGAAATTACACTTCAAAAGGATTTACATATGCTTGGCAGCTTGTAAGGAAAGCTTCAGGTTAAGTAGACATTTCATAGGGCTTGATAGATGTTTTTTGAAAGGGCTTTGTGGAGGTCAAATCATGTCAGCCATATGCAGAGATCCCAATGATCAAATGCTACCAATAGCATATGCATTAGTGGAGAGTGAAAACAAGGAAAGTTGGACATGGTTCTTGGAGCTGCTTATTGGTGATCTAGGTGGAAGAGAAGAGTGTCTCACATACACTTTTATTTCTGATCAACAAAAGGTATGACTCTATTGTTAATTCTCAATTGATTAGTATTTTTAATAATTAAATTCTCATGTTTATCTTGGTATTCTCATGTTTAATAATTAAGTTATATACATATCATGACCCAGGGATTATTGCCTGCAATGGAGGAACTGCTGCCTACAGTTGAACAAAGATTCTGTGTTAGGCATCTCTACAACAACTTTAGGAAGAGATTTCCAGGAAAAAAACTAAAGGAAATTATATGGAAGGCATCCAAATCAACTTACTACCAAGCTTGGGAAAGAGAGATGAAAGTTATGAAACATATCAATGGAGAAGCATACAAGCACATGATGTCTACCCCTCCAAGGTTTTGGAGCAGATCATACTTCAAGACTCATAACAAATGCGATGCAATTCTCAATAATATGTCAGAATCCTTTAATAGTGTTATTTTGGAGTCAAGGGCCAAGCCATTAATAACCATGGTGGAAGAAATTAGGATATACATGATGGAGAGATGGGCTACAAACAGGATGAGGTTTCAGAAATTGACAGATGTAGAAGTGTTGCCAAACATTATGAAAAAGGTTGAGAAAACAAGTTCATTCACAAACATGTGGCTTCCCAGGTAAAATTATTAAAACAAGCATTTTTTTTGTGTTAGAATGTCTGACTTTGGAATGTCCATTCTCATCTTAATTTGGAATGTCCATTTTTCTGTGTTAGGATGTCTGATGAGCATATGTTTGAAGTGAGGCATCTGGAAAATTCTGCTGAAAAATTCACTGTAAACTTGAAGGAAAAAATCTGTTCATGCAGAAGATGGGAGCTAACAGGCCTACCATGTGTTCATTCACTTGCAGCAATCAAGAATAGGAACCATAGGATTGATGAATACATTCCTGATTATTACAGGAAATCTAGATATTTGCAAGTGTACAAACCTGTCATATTCCCTGTTAATGGCTCAAACCTATGGGTTACAACTGAGTACCCTGATGTTATGCCACCCAAATTCAGGAAAATGCCTGGAAGGCCAAAGAAAAGGAGGAATTTAGAGCAAGGTGAGCTAGATGGTACTGATAAAAAGATGAGAAGAACAGGATTCATTATAAAGTGTAGCAGGTGTAAGCAGGTAGGTCACAACAAGCTTACTTGTAAGGTGCCTTCTACTAGTCATACACATGTAGCTCAACCATTTGTACCACAAGCACCATCTGTACCACAAGCACCAGTGCCTTCTCAACCATCTCAAGCATCTGTACCAGTGCCTTCTCAACCATCTCAAGCATCTGTACCAGTGCCTTCTCAACCATCTCAAGCATCTGTACCAGTGCCTTCTCAACCATCTCAAGCATCTATACCAGTGGCATCATCTATACCAGTGGCATCTGTACCAGTGGCATCTCAAGCATCTAAGTCAGTTCCTGGTCAAGGTTCTCAGGCATCTCAATCTAAATCATCCAAAAAGTTGTCAGTTAGAAGGCCAAATGCACCATTTGTCCCATCTCAAGCATCTAAGTCAGTTCCTGGTCAAGCTTCTCAGCCATCTCAATCTAAATCATCCAAAAAGTTGTCAGTTAGAAGGCCAAATGCACCATTTGTCCCACCAGGTCCAACAACGAGGTTAAAGGCATCAATAACTGTTGTAGGTCCAACAACAAGAAGGACAACACCAACTAAAAGAGCAGCACCAAAGTGGAAACCTTAGTTTACTTTTATGTCTGTTTTGGATTAGGATTGGACCTATAGTTGTTATGTTGTTTTGTTAACTTGGAATATTAGAATTGGTTATGTTAAGTTGTTTTGATCATGTAATATCAAGAAGGACAAGTTTTTGTTTTGACCTGTAATATCAGGCTGTTTGGATTGGACCTGTAATATCAGGTTCTTTTGTATGCAACTTAGTGGTATCCACCACCTTATAATTATATGTTTGGATTGTTACAGTATGTTACATTATGTTTTACATTGATACAAAAATGCTACTAGTTTTACAGTACGTTACATTGATCAAAATGCTACATTGATACAAAAATTGCTACATTATGTTTTACAGTATGTTACATTGATCAAAATGCTACTAGTTCAGAAATTCAAGTTGATACAAAAATTCAAATTCATAATGATACCATGTTCAAATTGAGACTGTGTTACATATGAATCTATTACAACATCATCCAAATTACCACAACTAACATAATAAAGAATAATCTTTTCCATTTTTTCTGAGAATTCTTCATCTTCTTCATTTCAATTTGTAACTCAATTATCTTATGTTTCAGCCCATCCTTCCTTTCCTTTAGATGATGTATCTCCATCTTTGCTCCATCAAGCTTATTTTGCAGCTTCTCCAACCTATTATTCTGCTTCTTTATAAACTGATCCTTCTCATCCACCACATCATCAAAGAACCATTAAAAGTATCCACACCCAGATTCAGATGAACCCTGTAATGGTGACATCCAGATTCATCTCAGCTATTGCAGGAACTATCAGAACAAGAATATATGAAAACCCATTTTAATTTCATGCTTACCTTGTAATGACGACAACCCCAGAATTGCTTCCCAAAGTTTGTGACGGTGGTAGCCCTTCGAAGAACCGCAGATTCTCCACAACCACATATAGGTCTCCATCGCAACTTTCCATCTAAGCTTCCATCTCTATTGCAATCGTACGAAGACCGGATCTCTGATGATGCTTCCTTCATCATATTGAGGAAATTTCAAATTCAAAATGGGAAAATTGAGGATTTCTGGAACCCTAGAATTTGAGGATTTCTGGAACCAGCTTGAAGATGATAACATTCCATGTCACCTGCCACGCATGCAAACCAAACGTCCGTTTGGGCCTTTTGAACGGAAAGGATTCCTATGGTCCTTTTGAAAGAATTATAGGACCAGTTTGACACTTTTTTTAGATAAAGGACCAAAATGGACCTTGGGGTAAAGTTAAAGGACTAAAAAGGGTATTTTGCCTTTTTTTTATTAAACAGTAATAGCAAGGGGTTTAATAATAATGCCGTTTTTCCTTTAAAACAAAACAACGATAAGATATCAAATGAATTGCTGAGTTTTAATGGACTTATGACTTGTACACCCCATCCCTTTTTGTTATCTACAGCCAAAACGTTAATGGACCCAATTCTAATGGGCTTGTATATTGTAATTTCAACCTCCCCTTTTACTAATGACAAAACGGGTTAAGAGCAACTTAAACTTGAGTCACCTTAATAATTTAATAACTCAGTAATTATTGGAATAAATTTTTATTTTCGAATCGCATGGGCCGTTGGCCAATATGCCTCACGAACGTTCACAGATACTCGAGTCTTCCTGATTTAGAAAGTCTCATTTTCGCGAATTAAAATACACCCCTAGTCTTGGATAAAGATGGGCCATCAGATACTGTTGTACCATCCTTAATTAAATATTTCTTCTATTTTAATCTCGAAAAATAAAATCATCGAAGTAGGACAAATTTGAAGTATGACACGTATCATAATATCAAAAATCCTGAAGTCCCCAGGACAAGCAACAACCATATTTATAGTACTTCCACCTCCATGTTTGGGTAGTGGATTATCCTTTACATTGGGACCAACATCTTTAAAAGACTGGAGACCAGATCTTACCATTTTCTGTACCTCAGACTTCAGTGGATAACAGTTTTCAATGTTGTGCCCAAGAGCTCCTTGATGAAAAGCACAAGTCTAGTCCACCTTGTAATACCATGGTAAAAGTGAAGGTATAGCAGGGGGAGGCCTAGTCTGCACCAATTTCTTCTGAATTAAAGCCGAAAACAATTCTGCATAACTCATCGGAATAGGATTAAACGCTTCTCTCTTCTGACCTTGCCCTTGATTACCTTGTTGAGGTGCTATCTGATAGACAACACCAATCGGAGCTACATTAACGATTAGAGTCACATAAATAACTTATTGTTGGTACTGGTGACGTCTTCTCGGAGGTCTAACCTTTCTTTCCTCAACGACAACATTTGTTTCACTTTCTTTCTCTCTAGAAAACCCATGTGATGATTTCTTTATTCCACTAAAACCTTCGTATTTTTCCAATCGTTCTTCCCTAACAGCTTCTTCTAGACGAACACTCATACTTACCATCTCAGTGAAATCACTTGGTGCACT